GCAAAGCCAGGGGGCAGGGGACATGTCCCCCCACACGAATTTTTCAAGGGGGGACATCATATCATAATGTCCCCCCCCCACAATTTTCGCGGATCACCACTGATTTGTGTGTGGAGTGTGTGTGTGTGCTGTGATGTGTGTGCTGTGTGGTATGGTGTGTGCTGTGATGTCGTGTTGTTCGTGTTGTGGTGCACTACCCGGGAGCCTGTGTTGTGGCTGTGTGTGGGGTTGTCGTGTGTGTGTGTGGGTGTGTAGTGTGAAGTGGAGAACCTTTTTATTGTGTGATAGTGACCGTCAACGATTGGCTTCATTTCCCTTTTTTGCCACGTTTTCATTTTATTCCAGTTCCATTTGAGAGCCATAATAATGATCCGATGCAGCAACTTAGAAAATGCCAACGTCTTCGGATAATTTGGTACCCGTGTCTGTTTTTACACACGTTTAGTTATGCTTTCTTGATATTAACAGATCTTATGCTGAGAAGCAGAGAGAGGAACAGTGACTGTTTAGAAGTTTAGGAGATATCACTCACCATTAGACACGTATTCAAGGCATTCAACCCAGAACAATCGAGCCTAATATTTCCACGCCAAAGGAGGAAACACTCCGAGTAACGGAGCATCGTTTTAATAAATGTTAAGTTTTATATGCAAATTGATGATATATATACAAGATATATGATCATTGACCTGGACAACAATAATAAAGAACCCAACTATATTTGTGATCCCTCCAAACCCACCAACATGGGCACGAGCGTGTGTGTGTCGTGTGTCGTGGTGTGTGGGGTGTGTGTGTGATGGTGTTGGTGTCGTGCGTGCCGTGCGTGCGTGGCCGTGCGGTGGCGCCGTGTGTGTGTGCAGGGAACGTGTCACGGGGCGGGGCGGGGTCCTCGGCACTGCAAAATCTTTTGTTCCACTTGAGTTCCGGACCACACCAATCCAACCCGCCAGACTCCAATCACTCGACTTTCTCAGAACAACCCCAGTAAAATGAATGAACTCCTAACCCCGTAAACCTAAAACACTAAACACTTAACGCAACCCTACACTGAACTATAATTCCCAACCTATCAGTATAGCAACCATTATTACAAAACACTATCTTATGGTGGTCCGGAACTCAAGTGGGAAAATAAAAAGGTTCGCGTACGGACCCCCCCCCCTCACTCGCGCGCAAGAAAACCGCATCTGAGGGGTCAATTTTCAAATTTTTCTAGGGGAGGCCCCCGACCCCCTTCGCGTGCTCGCTACTCGTTGTCCCCCCCACGCATATTCAAATGGATTGGGCGCTGCGTAATACATTACATACATACTACACTACATACATCACCATACATACATACACTACATACATACATACATACATACATAACATACATACAATACATACCCATACCTCACAGTACATAATAAATACATACATAGCATACATACATACATAATACATACATACATAGCATAGCATACATTACATACATACATACATACATACATAGTCATACATAGCATACATACATATCAACATACATCACATACATACATACATTACATACATTGCATACAATACATACATTACATACATACCATACCAACATACATACATAAATACTAACATACATACATACTACATACATACATAACATACATACATACATTACATACATACTTACATACATACATACATACATAGTCCATACATACATTACATACATACATACATACTACATACATACATACATACCATACATACATACATACCATACATACCATACATACAACATACATACATACATACATACATACATAACATACCATACATACCATACATAACACGACATACATAATCCACATACCTACCATACATACACTGACACCTACATACCATACATCTACATACATAGCAATACATACATACATACATACATATACATACCTACATACATACATACATAATACATACATACATACCATACATACACACACACACCACACACACACACACACAACACACACACACCGTCACCACAACCAACACACACCACCACCACTCAACACTACACACACACACACACGACACAGACAACAGATAGCACACATACCACACATAACACCTACTATACACAATACAGACATACAATACATACATACATATATACATACACACACACCCACACACACAGACAGCACACACCCAACACACACACACACACACACACAGCACACACCACACACATATCAGGACATACATACCCATACATACATACATACAATACACTATAGCATGATACATATACATACAACATTCGGCAAACTATAGTAAGATACTGTTTCTTGGTCTCCCAACGGTCAAGCCTGACCGGTCTTGTTATTGTATCTATTCTAATCTACTTCCTACTATAATCTCAATCTGCTCTCTCTCTCCTCTTCTCTCTCTATATACTAATCACTCATATATATATAATATACGACTTATATAAAGTATATATATTCCACATCGTCATAATATATTATCCGACTGTTTGGAGTCAGATGAAGGTCATATGAACCAGGCGGCACGCGAGAAGCATAATCTCTCTCTGCTCTTCTCTCTCTATATATATTTTTTTTTCTTTTCTATAATTGGCAAGATACGTACGGGGTTGTTATATAAACAAGCACAATTACATTGCATTAACAAGTAAATGCATTAAATGTGTTTGATAAGTAAAAGATATACAGGGGTTGCGCTCATACGAAGCACATTGATCAAGTATAACAGATAAAACGTGTTTTTAGAATGTTCGCTGTGTTTTCGTTATGTTCTCTTTGCACCATGCATGATGTCGACATTGTCTAAAGTATCATGAAAAGCGGGATTAAAGTTACATATTCGCCTCAAGCAACTATAAAACCCCGATAGCGGTTGTGAAAGCGCACAGAAACGTCCAACGATCGGCGAATCCTTCAAAAGAAGCCCAAATTAATGCGTGCCATGCTTTATTTAGGAGTCACACGAAATTAGCCCGAATCGACGTAAAGTGGAAGATGATCGATGTTGCAGGAGACACAGCCAGAAGTGTGTGCGCGCGTGTATGCAACTGAGATTATGCAGTGCTGTAACTAACTGTAATAGCAGTGGCGTACGTATAGTTAGGGGGGGGGGGGGCAAAAGGGGCCATGTTGATCCGAAAGTAAAAAAATAAAAAAGTAAGAATTGTTCTACTAAAAAGAGAATTGTCCTAGTCAGAATGAAGGCTGTACATGTACTCAAAAATGCTTCAAATACCATCTCCTGCGAATGGCCGTACGCAGGAAATTTTCTGTAGGGGGGCAAATACGCAGGAAATTTTCTGTAGGGGGGCAAATACGCAGGAAATTTTCTGTAGGGGGGGCAAAGGTACTCCCCACGCCCTCTATTGCCCTATTTGTCCCATTAAAAGGCATACTCTGAAAATCTCTAGGGGGGGGGCAACTGCCCCTGCTGCCCCCCTGCTGCGTACGGCCCCGCCGGCGGGCTGCGATCAACATTTAAAAAAATTTCTAGGGGAGGATCGACCCCCCATACCCCCAGTCTGTTCCCCCCTCATTTTATATCTTCGTAGCAGAGAACAACAAACAAAAATGTCGCCTTTTGCATGGCATACATTGCATATACATGCATATACATTGCATGTATGCATGGCGTCTGAAACAAAGATTACAGAGCTTCTTTGCAGAGACATCCATCATTTTGCGCAGTTCGCGGTTTTTGGCCCCCTGTTAAAAAATCCTGGCTACGCCACTCAACTGTAGGCCTATACTAGCAAGTAGCAACCGTGAAATACTCCAAACTAACTTGAGACATGCAGTGAGGCAAGTCCTCGCAAGTTTTCTACGCTCAATGGTAGTTTGCCACGTAACCATATAGCACGTAACGTCACACCATAGTCATACGTATCATGAGCCGACCAATGGGCCTGGCACGTGCCCAAATATTGCATCACATGTGATTGCATCATCGTGCGATCGAAGCGCCACTCAGAAATAAACAACATTCGCACAACTACAAGGAATCGGCGGGTTCGCAAACAGAAACCAAAAGTTTGTCCAAATACGTTAATATGGGGAAGAAGAAGAAGAAGCAGCAACACAGGAAAGGTACGTAATTTGCTAGCTCGCACAGCCAAATAAATTATCTAGTGTTAGTGTAGGCTAGTCTGTAGCCACAGGCACTTGGGACAGAGTCAGTAAAAACTGAAAATAATAATGAACGCACATTCACAAATACTAGCCTACCGTAGGTTTAAACCGACCAGGCTCTACGACTGTTACACGGCGTAGGCCTAGCCACAAGTTCCCTTCACTACGTTGGCGAGAGGGTCCTACGACGTGTAACAGTCGGAGAGCCTGGTCGGTTTACCGTAGGCCCTACCTCTCAATTAAAGTTCCACTGTTTTGTCACTGTATATCAACTTTCCTTCATAAAAACTAACACCGAATGCTCCCTCACTCGCCGCTGCGAGTGTGCTGTGTCGCCATGATAATGATAACAATATATAACTATATTATTACCTCCGCCCAACGGAGTTGGAGGAGGTTTTGTTTTCGCTCTCGTGTGTTCGTGTGTTAGTGTGTTCGCGCGATCGATATTAGCGCGGCGAGTCAAGCCAGCCAGCTCCAGCAGCAGTCAGCAGCAGCCAGCAGCGAGCGGTGAGCCAGCTCGTAACACATACATGTTACATGGGAGCGTGTAGACCAATAAATTGTGCCCTAAAAATGTTTATATTCTGATGTTATTTTAGGGCCCAATAGCCTTCCATAGACAAAACCTGTGAATTCTGTAGTTAGTGTTCCATAGACAACCTTTTCACTATTTACGGCCGTGTTACATAGAAAATCAAAGAAATACCTAAAGCCCGTCGCTTGATAACATCTTACCTACATTACAAAACACTTGTCATGCAGTATTCTCCTCTTTAATCACGTTATTTTATTAAAACATCATGACATAAAAATCGCGCAACCTTCGCTACAAACAAAACTGCTAATCTTAATATTGCATTGAACCGCACCGGACGCACCATCGCTGTCCGGTGCGGTTCAAGTGCGTCCGGTGCAGTTCAATGCAAGATTGGCAGTTTTGTTTGTAGCGAAGGTTGCGTGATTTTTATGTCGTGATGTTTTAATAAAATAAACGTTATTAAAGAGGAGAATACTGCATGACAAGTGTTTTGTAATGTAGGTAAGTTGTTAATAAAGCGACGGCTTTAGGTATTTCTTTGATTTTCTATGTAACACGGCCGTAAATAGTGAAAAGGTTGTCGTGCATTTTGCACGACAGAATTCACAGGTTTTGTCTATGGAAGGCTATTGGGCCCTAAAATAACATCAGAATATACACTTTTTTAGGGCACAATTTATTGGTCTAGGGAGCGTGTACATGTCAGTACGCTGGCGTATATCGTGCGTTATTCCTGTGTTCGTGAGTCGTATGGCGTATGGCGTATGTTGCTGGCGGAGGTATGCACTCCGTGAGTGCACTCTGTCTCGTTATCATTATGCACATCACGCACACACACACTCCAGTGGTCGAAATTAGATTTTTATTATGGTATCCATTTGGGATACCAGGTATTGAAATCTGGTATCCCCCCCAAAGATCTGGTATCTCATTTTTTGGATAGTAATTTCAACAAATGGTATCCAAAATCTTGACATATGCAATAATAGCATTTGGAAAATTATTAATATGTAATGTAATTGTATCCCCCGCGACGAAGTCGGCGGGGATACTATGGTTTCATGTCTGTACAGCCGCCGCCGCTTGGTCCGCCGCAGAGATTTTCCCTTCCGCTCTATAACTCGACCCCTAATTGACCTAGCGTGACAGCCCTCGACACTAACGGTTGTCCGATTGCCCGGGACAAGTGAAAGTTTATGTCGGACAAGTTATTCTCTTGCCTAGTTGCCCGATCGGACAACTGAAAAGTTCTAGTTGTTTAATATTCTTTTAACATCCTCTGAGCCAGGGCGCTATCGCACCACATTCTCACTTCAAACGTTTTCAAAGGTTCCTGAAAAAAGCAGCCCGTGACACCCACTGTTACCATTACAGATTTATTCAGAGCGGCAATGCGTACCTCCCTGGCCGGGGCGGCATTGATTTATGTACTGGGGTGGGGGTACGATTGTTTATAAGTCGGTTGGGGCATTTTCATTACTGAATATGTAGGGGGTGGGCATCGCTGGGATGCTGGGTCACTGCCAAGGTCAATCTATTCTCTTATCTCTCTGGGTATTCAACAGTCGGTACCACATGCATCACAGTCACTAAGCCCGCGCTTAGCGCGGGTTCCAGCTAGTAACTTAGTAAGTATAATTCATGTATATTGTATATTATAAGTCTCGCCCCATATTTTGCATTGAAAGGTTGGTACAAACATTGGTACATTAACATGATTTCTTAGCCTTGTCTATAAGTCACACCCACTGATTTTTTTCTTATGACCTAAATATTTGGCCTTTACCTTGACCTTGATCATATTTCCCTTCCGCTCTATAACTCGGCCCCTAATTGACCTAGCGCTACCAAAACCACATCACTACGACCTTTATTTGGCCTTTACCTTGACCTTGATCATATTTCCCTTCCGCTCTATAACTCGGCCCCTAATTGACCTAGCGCTACCAAGCTTGGTATACTTACACATCTTGGGGAGAAGGTGTGTCGCGTACCAAAACCAGGTCACTGCAACCTTTATTTGACATTGACCTTGACCTTCATCATATTTCCCTTCCGCTCTATAACTCTGCCCCTAATTGACCTAGCGCGACCAAACTTTTTTCAGTTGGCGACAACTAGGGCTGTCATTGGTATCAAATTATTTCGATTCGATTATTGATATTTTTTTTTTCGATATTTCGATCCGATTCGATCCGATTCGATTTAATAATTGTAATAAAACATGAGCCGTGAAAGTACAGTAAACTCATGTATTGTGTTCTACTATGATAACTATGCATTTTATACATCGCTGTGCTTAAATACAACATGGGCGAAGTATATATTTATCTGAATTCAACCAGATTGACCTGGCGTCGCGGCGATGGCGAAGCAGCAGACATGCTTTTACGGTAGACAGATTTTATTATAGAGATCAGTGAGACAGGATACGCACCAGAGACAATAGAACACCACAGTTATTGATTGTCTCTGTATGCATGCGCCCTGGACTACTTCCGATAATGGCGGCGCGGCGCTCAGTCAAAAATGCTACCGATGCTCCGCTGGCTACATTTTAGCAAAAAAAAATAAAAAAAAAAATCGGATCGCTATTTTTCGATTTATTTCGATATCGATATCGGACGCAAATCCATCGCGATTTATCGATGAGGTGGGCATCGATGACAGTCCTAGCGACAACTGCCCTTTCTAGTTATTATATAAAAACATGAAAACAGATTCACAGATATGCACAGACAAGTACACTGCAGACGTATTGTCTAGACGCATTGTCTGGTTCGCTTGATACAATGTATACACATCACATTTATGATCTTGCGCTTGCAAATATGCTATGCCTGCTGTATAAAGACTGGCGCACACGTGAGTAATTTTACTCAAGTAAAATGACGCATGAGTCAAAAATTATCAAACACGTTTGATATTGAGTAAAATGACGCATGCGTCAAATTACTCATCGAAAATCCGCCGCACACGTGAGTAAAATGGCTCGTGCGTCATTTTACTTGAGTAAAATTACTCACGTGTGTGCCGGGCTTAACGCTAGTGTGGCATAGTGAGGGTGCCTGAGCCCGCTCAGATCGCGCACACTCGCTCAGATGCGCTGCTGTATAAAGTTGATAACTCAACAACTATCCCGATTTTGATGTGTTTTTTTTTACTATCCCGGCGGGATATCAAGCATTGAAATCTGGTATCCAACACAAGAATCTACTATCCCGCGGATTTCGGGATACCGCTAATTTCGACCCCTGCACTCGGCAATCAGCAGAGCGTACCGTTGCGCAATCATGCGTGTACGTGTCGCAAGATCACTGTGTGAGATGGATGTCCGGACGCGTAGCCTAGCGGCTCCTCATCCGGAACCGATCGCGTAGCCACGGCCTATTTGTAAACATTGTCTTTATTGGCGAGTAATGTCGCAATTCTACTGTTTAAACATTAAATAGAGGTTAAATTTCTATAGCTGCAGTAACGTTTTCACTGTGGTAAAGGGTCTGCAGGGTTATGACTGCAACAACTTCAACCAAGTTCTCACTATATATAAAAATATAATAGTCTATAGCATTGTGAAAGTGGCTGTGAGGAATACAGAGCACTCGAATGTGACGTCACGTTGGCATGGCAACGAACCAGCTGGTTCTAAACAATCGCAAGACTCGCATACCTTTACTGCGTGAAAATTATGTTGTGATTTGTTCCAGATTGTAATCATCATTCTCTAAAGGCCCGCTTATGTCGGCCTACGATTTGACTATCGGCGACTACTTTATCGCCGATTAGCAGCGTAGCAACACTCATGTCGACTTGAAGTGACTACGCTGCACATCGCCGATCAGATTGCAGCCTTCCTGCATGAAACATAGACGGGTTCGCGGCCCCAGTATTTGTACTAGCACAAGCAGTTCTTTAGCACAAACAGAGCAAGCTTGACGCCGGGACCAGTCTACATAAAACGAGTCACGTACGTGACCAACAAAATGGCGCTTACCAGTAAACATCATGTAACTTCGTAAATCTATCCTAAATTTTCTGAACATCGTTATAATCATGTGCAGAAATTTTTTTTATGTGATATACGGAAAACTTTATATATATTTGAGAAAGGGTTTGTGCAATAATCCCTCCTTGTAAACTGCTGACGAGTGGCGTGTAGGCTGCCATTTTATTAATCACGTGACTTTTAATAATCATGTGACTCGACACACTGCGGTGATTGGCTGCCACTCACGATTAGTCGCCGACAGCCGCATAGAAATAGAACATGTTCTATTCCTGCGATCGCAGTCGGCGACCGTATTTTCAATCGTAATAGAACTCATGTCGAGTTTGGTCGCCGATGTTTTTATCGGCGATCTGGCCGGTGTTTGACGTACGATATTCATATCTTGTCGGCGACTAGGTCGTAAGGCCGACATAAGCGGGCCTTAAGAGTCATAATTATAGTTTTTATAGATTTTCAAAAGTTGAAAGTGAACAATAACTCTCCTGGTCATGTGATATTCCATTTTCTTATTCATCTCATTATAATTCTCCCCTGACCCCTTGCCTCTGATGTTCTATTCACGTGATAAACTGTACGTGTATGTTTGGTACATCATCAAATTTATTAATGTGCTATATGACCTATTGATAGATACATTACAGCAGACAGCATATATATATACAGCATACCAATTGCTTAGAACCAGTGAGCATGATACCATGGAAATGTGACGTCATATCTTCGGCTCTCTATGTAGACCATAGATAATTGCCAATCACCCTTGGTCCATTATTTGTGGCTTAACCTGACTATGAAGTCAATAGTAATGATTATTGCAATTATTTTAAAACAGGCTTTCAAAATATTACGGTTTGTCAGAGTTCTGTTTGTAGAAGTAATGTATATTACACATATTGTTACTATTAGTGCTAGCGAGTATACTACTGCTGCTGCTTCTGCTGTGGAAACACTCGCAGGCGAGTATGATTGTCTAGAAGTTCTAAAATTATTCTTTGTGCATTCTCAGATGACTCATAAATCCTATACCACACATCTTGCCACACACTTGACAGCAGTTTCCAGGGGGTAAGGGTGGAAGATCTGCTTCCTCTTGGCGCCTGACCATCTAAAAATAGACAACACTGTCGTAAACAGTGTTCATCCAGGTCGGTCTCAGACCAGCTAGCCTGCCAGTCATCAGTGTTAATATGTCATATTTCTTTTTAAGCTAGCTTTTATATTGTCCTAAAAATATCCTTGAACCATTTCCTCTATCCACCACCTGTTCGCTTCCCTTCTTTGAGTTCGCCAAAGAGAACTCGCTTTGGTAGACTGGAGTCGGGCATCCTCACTGCATGACCTGACCGGCGTAGTTGACTCTTTATGATCAGGCCTTCAATAGTTGTGCAGTGAGGCTCTTAAAGAATACTAATGTTCGTTCAGCTTCCCAGCTTACATGCAGTATTCGTCTGAGGCAGCGTTGATGATAAATCTCCACTGCCTTCAGATATCGGCTGTATGTTGTGCATGATTCCGAGCAGTAGAGAACAGCTGGTAATACAACTGCTTTCAGGGTGTTAGCCAGGAAAAAAAATTAGAGCGAAGCGAGGATGCTGCGGGCGTGAAGTGCCTTAAGAGGGAGGGTGTGGGAGGGGTTTTCACCCACCTATGGTGTGGAATATTTTTTAAACCTTACCTTAAAATGGAGGAAATTTAGTCTGAAATGCCAAAAAGACAGGTATCTGATGATTTTATATTCTCATAAGCACCGTTGTCAGTTATACAAGGTGTCTTCTACTCTATATAATGATGTTTCACTGACAACATTTATGGATTCATCTCCCTCAATTATTCTGCTGAAAAGGTTTGCATTATGAAATGGAGAAGATGTCAAGTTTTACTAATTTTAGACTGTATTTTAGAGCTGTGATGTTCTAAAACGGACAATTTTATTTTCATGCGGGGGTAAAATTGGGCCGCCCTCATGTATGACCTCAAAATGGAGAAGATGTCAAGTTTTACTAATTTTAGACTGTATTTTAGAGCTGTGATGTTCTAAAACGGACAATTTTATTTTCATGCGGGGGTAAAATTGGGCCGCCCTCATGTATGACCCCATCCAAGTATAGGCCGTCCAAAAGCCGGGTAGACGGGTCTCTGGCTAACACACTGACTGCTTTATACACAAGGATTTTATGCGAGAGAGAATAGTGCTTAATTAAGTACTTGGATTCGCTGTGGTACTGTTTACTGTTGTGTTGCTGACTTTGTTGTTGCTGGTGGTGATGGCCGTGGTGTTGGCCGTGGTGTTGGTGGTGGTGATGATGGCACTGGTGCTGGTGGTGATGGCGGTGGTGGTGGTGGTGGTGATGATGGCACTGGTGCTGGTGGTGATGGCGGTGGTGGTGGTGGTGGTGATGATGGCCGTGGTGGTGGTGGTGGTGATGATGGCACTGGTGCTGGTGGTGATGGCGGTGGTGGTGGTGGTGGTGATGATGGCACTGGTGTTGATGGCGGTGGCGATGGTGGTGTTCGTGGCGGTGGTGATGATGGCACTGGTGTTGGCGGTGATGGCGGTGGTGGTGGCGGTGGTGATGATGGCACTGGTGTTGGTGGCGGTGGTGGTGGCGGTGGTGGCGGCGATGGTGGTGGTGATGGTGGCCGTGCCAGTGGTGATGGTGTTAATGATTATAATGATAATAGTCTTGCTGTTGTTAATGTTATCTGATCCATCTCAGGTAGGACTGCTTAAATATTGCCCATACATATAATTTGTAAATTATTACCACAACTCAAGATACAACAACTCACACAAACTTGATTTGTAAAATATAAGCACTAAACTCGAGATATGAAATGAAATGTTGCTCTTACATTTTTCAAGTTATAGAGAAGGTAATTTTACATATGAAGTGGTGTGCTTAGTAAAATTCATAATAATTTTAAATGATACAATATTCAATTCAATAATGAAAATAAAAAATAATTAAAATAAATCACCATAAATGAAGTGTATACATGTAATAAATTTGCAGCCACCTGCCAACGTACCAGGCGGGTCATCTTTCATGCATGTACCACTGGTGCATTGCGGCGTTGCCTGCATGAGCACTGTTTATGAAATGTGCATGTTCTTGTAATGAAACCCCATGCATCTAGTACTATTTCATATCTTGAACAGACCACATAATTTGATCCAACGTCAAACTATTCTGTGCGAGTCTCGCGCTAGTCGCAGCATACAGATACACTGTAATTATTAACTGGGCTAAGTTAGCATGGTTAGGCTGCGCATGTTTAGTTTAACATGTTAGATAATGTAGTATTAAATATTAGGAATTGCTAAAAATTCAATCACTATCTTTATGCTGTCAAAAGCCTAGATGTACTAATTATTCGCTTAGCCATAAGAGGCATGGTTCAACTAGATTTTGGTAGGTCCTAAGACCTAAGTGATTCATGCAGCCGAGCTTTGGAATTTATTCTGCAGTAGGCCTACATTACCACAATATTGATGGGAAATGTCACGATATTAAATTTTAAAAATTGAAGATGGGATTAGAGAGACCCTGATGCCCATGCGAATAATAAGGCTACTTCTATTGAAATAGGTGATTCAATTTTCCCATCGTGGTGTGGTTTTAGCTAGCATAAGTTTTTTTAAATTTGGATAAATTATTCATTTAAAGGTATATTGTGTAAAGTTATCAGCTTTATCTCCTTTCTTCAGTTTTTTTTAGTAATACCAGCTGTTGTGGTTTGAATATATTAGACCTACATTCATTATTGGTTATCAGCACTTCATATTTGTCAAATCTGGTTATTTTTATATAATAAACCGTCTCCATTTCCAATTTAAACGGGGGGTTTAGTATTATTTTTTATCTTTGTTGCGGTAATGTTTTTCAATCAGATTAGTGTCATGAGTCTAACCACAAGTAGAAGTTCTCCCAGTGTGCTTCACATAGGGCTCAAATCTACAGAGAAATTTAGGTTCGTGTAGTAGCTATGTTTACCAATGGTTATTGCACAAATGTGTTGAAAGCTCAATTTGTAAAGACCCTATGTATCGTAGAATTTTATCTAATGAATAATGAGTGTGTGCTATTACATAAACAATTGCTTTTTTTCTGTCTGACATGAAGATGAAGAAAGTAAACCAGAGGATGGAGCAAGATCAGCTACAGGTGCTGAAAAGGTAATGAAATTCTTTCTGGACGTATGCCTCACCATATTACCTTTCAATGGTGTGTATATACCGCCATTTGACATAGGCAGATGCAGCTTTTCTAATAGTATTACCTGTACAAATTTTCACTTGGTGCACACATATATGTGATGGGGAGCGCATCATGAAAATGCATATTGGCAGCTTGACACACTGTTGGTCAGGGATTAAATAATCCCTTTTTGATGTTAGGCGGCACTGCAGATACTGGAGTGTATGAGCCTAGAAGCTCAGAACCTTTGCCCAATGCATGTCTTGTAAATGCAGCTAACCAAGCATTAGAATAAGTTGAGATGTATTCGTACTTTAGGCTCCAGACCCAGACAAACAACAGCAGGCGGGTGCGGCAGTACAACTCGAGACCGAACCAACTAGAGAAATGCCTAGACGGGAACCAGCGAAGGTAGGCCATCACTCATGACCAGAATGGATCATTGGTGGTGATGAATGTATATAATGTTTATATATAAAGTTGTAAACTTGAAAATTTTGTATCCAGTCACATGGGAGCCTGCCGTAATATCTGTTTAAAGCTGGGTTTACACTACCGACTTCATGCTGTCAAATTGGCGAATTGTACCAGTTTCACTGTTGTACAACCGACAATCGTAAAAGTATAACGTAAACTGAATTGTATAGGTTTTTGCCATGCGGGCCACTCATAGAACAGCAATGAGGAGGTGTGTTCCTCCACCTAGGGGGAGAGCACGTTTTTGCGATCGGCGCCACACTGGCGGGATGGAATACATGCAAAAATGCATATCCGTGTGACCCCATGTACACTACGGGTCAAATGTTGAAATATTTGCCGCCTCAGGGTCGATAACATAAGAGGTTTGAACATATTATATAATATATTAATTATATATTATATAGAGAGGTTGGTAGAAAATATAAAAAACACCAAGTTGCCTGCATAAAGTCGGTAGTCTAAACCCAGCTTTAATCTCCCAACTAGTTGCTATTAACCAGTTGCTCGTGCAACCTTTACCTTTACACTATCGATTGTCAGTTGTATAATTGGGAATTATTCCAATTCGACAATTTGACAGCATAAAGTCGGTAGTGTAAACCCAGCTTAAGACAGTACTCGGTTGACTAGAGTTACCAAGTGTTGCCTCATAACCGGTGTTCAGTATGAGTTTCGTAACATGTGACAAAACAAATTAAAAAATTTTTTTTTTGCCATGTATTCATACTATAGGCTCCAGAACCACACAAACAACAGCAGGCAAGTGCGGCAGTACAACGCGAGATCGAACCAACTAGAGAAATGCCTAGACGGGAACCAGCGAAGGTAGGCCATCACTTAGGACCAGAATGCCAGAATGGAGCATTAGTGGGGATGAATGTATATTTTAACTTGAGAATTTAGTATCCAGTCACATGATAGCCTGCCTTTCTGCAACTTTTTTGTTTATAATATGGTACTTGGTTGACTAGAGTTACCAAGTGTCACCTCATAACCGGTGTTCAATATGAGTTTCGTACATGTGACAAAACAAATTAGAAAAGTTTTTGGCATGTATTCATACTATAGGCTCCAGAACCACACAAACAACAGCAAACATGCTGGGGGACGCCACAACACAGGCCGGAATCAATGGGTGCCATACCTAAACATGACCCAACAAAGGTAGTAACTATGACTAATGTGACTTTAAATGGCATAAGTTACCACATTCTCTGCTGTAAATTGCCATAGAGTCTTGATTTGAAACGCTGCAAGAAATATGGTGTTCAATGTTTTTGATTTTTAGGATACGTATGTCAGAGTCCTGCTTATGTTAAATCGGAGAATCCGACAGTAAAACAGAGTACATACTTGAATTGCATACTTTCAACCCCTGCATACATATATGTTACTGAATTTGTACGGGTTATGCAATGGCCAATGAAGATGCCACCAGAGCAAGCTAAGCCAAGCATGGCTTCAGAAGAAAGACTGACTATGAAGACGAGGCCAATGGAAGTGGTAACACCCAAGCACACACAAGAAGACAAACCGGGAATGCAAGCATCAGTCACTGCCGCAAGAGAATCTGCATCGGAAGATCTCGCTGGTGGTTCGTTTTTATTTATTTCCCCTTTTCCCATTTGACATAAAACACATCAGCTGAGATGAATACAATATTTAAAAGAAGATTATGATAATTTATTATTTTAATTGCTTCTGTAGGTTCACTACAGAGTCTCGGACTTGAGCTGATACAAGCTGCTAAAGCTACGGCCCTGTCTTTTCCCAAACGCCCCGGTGTTGGGAAAGTTGGAAGGCGTATCGTTCTCAGAGCAAATCATTTTGCTCTGAAAATCCCGGACTCGTATCTCCAGCACTATGATTTTGCTTTTGCTGTAGAAAAGCTGCCAAAACGTCTTAAGAGGTACAAACTTGTAAGACCTTAGCAGTTATTTTAATTGGAAATAAGCAACACAAGTGTAACAGCTTAATGAGTAATTTAAATTTATAGTCGGTCAACAATTTAATATGACGTTATAACACAAAGTTTATTAGGATGTTTTCTGTTTTTTATTCAATAGGAATATTTTTAGCCAGGTGGTTAAAGATGCAAAGCACGTCTTTGGCAACTCCCACCCAGTGTTTGACGGCGCCTGCAATATGTACACTACACGTGAACTGCCGATAGGAAGAGAGCGGGTGTGATTAAATTGCTCTTGTCTTTTTTAATGATATTAATTCATTTCAGTGCTAAAACGAATTCGTGTGCAATCATTTTTGTCTGCTATTTTTTGAAGACTTGGTGCTGCAAGCGTCCAGTAGTATGAATTTGAGGTTGATTGGAATCGTATTGTGTGCTGTAGTAATAAGGTGACATTTTTGTCATGTTAGATGGAGCTTACATTGGATTACTATGATGAGGAGCGTCAAAAGTCTCGCGAATTCAAGGTTTCTATAAAGTGGGCAGCGCAAGTGAGTCTAGTAAATCTGAAGAATATGGTTGAAGGAAAGACTAACATCGTGCCATATGATGCCATTCAGGCGCTGGATGTTGTGATGAGACAACTACCTAGCATGAGGTACATGGGAATTTGTTACGTCGTGATTAGACGAGTTTGTGGGAAGCAATTCGATAGCAGTGTTCGCATGATCTTCATGCCACGTGTTGATCGATGTAGCAAAACCAATGATCTACTAGTAAATCTGTGTTTTATTTGGTTAGGTATACTCCTGTAGGTCGCTCGTACTTCTCACCACCGTCAAGCAACGATAATAACTCTCTAGGCGGGGGCCGTGATGTCTGGTTTGGTTTCTATCAAAGTGTGCGCCCTTCACAGTGGAAGATGATGCTGAATATTGATGGTATCTTTTTTTGTCCTTGTTTTTATAAATATGCCTTGCTATTCATTCATCACATCACTGTGCATCTTGTGTGTTACCTCCTGGGCACTGCAGTATTGAAGTCTAAAAGAGCATAGATTTGCCACGTTTGTGAAGTAACATTTTTTTGGTTATTAGCTTGACTGATGTAATCAGTCAGATGGAGCGTGTAGTAGTATGACATTAGCATCCATGTATTTATCTGCCCTGCGTGTAAACGATTAATGCACAAGTTTAAATGAATTTATCTGCATTGCTCATGTTTTACATGAGGGGTAGTCAAAAGGCATGTCAGTCAAAGCTACCGGTGAGGGGTCAAAGGGCAAATATCCAAGTTTTGCCCAGTGTGTGCGCTGTGCAAAAGTGGAAGAATGAAGATGAAAGAAAAATGGTAAACGAAAGCTGTTGGTCAAAGGGGCAGTTTTAATAGTATGGGCAGATGTAATCCAGTGGGCCTTAATTGTTGCCTTCCAATTAAGGGTGCTCTTTGTTCAGCATGTGGTTTACTGTGACTGCCAAATTGTAAAGGTCATGAAATACACTTTACACTGATATGTGAAACATAGCTGGTCATGGCTCATTCAAGTGTCTAAAGTGAACATGAGCTACAATTCCTTATTTCTGATAGCAAAAGTTTATGAGTAAAAAAATGTGGGAACGAAGCTACATTTGTTGTTTTCAATCATTCTTGTAGTGTCTGCGACAGCATTCTACAAGTCTCAAACAGTCCTCGAATTCATGGAAGAGGTTCTCAGTACACGAAACGATAGATACAATCCCAGTAGACCAATGGACGTGTACAAAAAGTCAATGTTCAAAAAGGAGATTACAGGTAAAGGTAGATGCTATCCATAGTTTTTCATCGTCCCTGATATTTGCCCTGCTGATATCCATGCTTGAAATTCGCCTGCTCAGTTTGCTTGCTACCAGCTACAATAGTGCAATCTTACCACCAGTATAGTCACTCGAATTTGAGATTTATATTATTAGAAGCCCATTTGAATGTATCTTGTTAGAAGTCTATTATTTACAATTTCATTGCCCAGGTGAGCTGAGCTTTCATTTTACCCTGTAGTGTATTTAGTATAATAATTATGATTATAAATCATACAGGTTTTGTGACTGCTATTTAATGACTCCATGAATGTTCAGTGTATTAAATCATTAGGCTCTTTTAGGTTTGAAGGTTGAGGTGACACACATGGGACACATCAAGAGGAAGTACCGTGTGATTGGATTGACAAGGAATCCAGCAGCTACAGAAAAGTGAGTTTCCTTACCTCATCTTTCAACGTCTTCTTAGTTTCGTGGACATAGTTATTCAGTGGTTGATCAGTTGATTAAATTCAAACACTTAAAAGGTAAATTTCTTATCAGATTCTACCTGAAGAAAGGGCACATGTTTTCATTTTTGTGATTTTACTTTTGCACATTTTTAATATGGTTTGATGCTAAAGTGTTATTGTTGAAGTGTTTGGTCGATATATCGACTATCAGAACTCGAAATGTTGCTTGTAAAACTATAGGTTTTGCTGTAAATCTTAAATTATTTCTAGGTGAGATTTTTGTTGTGAAAAGTATATTGGTGAGATTTCCATTGTTTTAAAAATGTAAAACATTTTAGGTTATATTAATCTTATACTCATTACCACATTAATCAGCTGAAATGAACTTCATTCTGACGAAGGGAAAAATATATGTGTTGAAGTGAAGAACTGGGCAAAGAATAAGTAGGTGCTAAAATTCAAGAAATGCATTTTAATCTTCACTTTAGTATTGCTATTAATTTAACAGGTTTCCATTGGAAGTTGCACCCGGCAAGACAGAGCAATGTACAGTGTCGAAGTACTTCAAGGATACGTATAAATGCGTGTTGAAATACCCAAACCTGCCTTGTCTCCATGTAGGAAATCCAGCCAGAAATACGTACTTGCCAATTGAGGTATATACATCGTAACATTGCCGGCATTAATTCGTATTTAATGTTAGCTCCAGATATGCAGTATTCCCCGTTAACTTGTATAAGTTTGTGACATCAGGTAACATCACTCAAAGTAATATACATTGCGTATTAATGTTTATATTGTGTATTGCAATATCTCTCCTCTCCAAGGCCACAATTAAAAAAATCTTCGTTTGCCCTCACCCGACCCAGGCTGAAAATTTGGGGTAGGTAGGTAGGCTTCTTTTTTTTGAGGGGGGGTCTTTGTACAAATGCAGCATGGTGTCTACATGCTCGCGTGTGCTTGTGTGGAGATACCTTTTATGTTGAATGTTTGTTTTGCTTGGTACATATAAAGTATTGCCTACAGATTTATATAATGTACAGTGATACAATTTGTAAAAAAAAAAATGCGAAAGAGCAATAAACATGTTTGAGTCTGCCCCTTTTTGGCAGGTCGGTCGGGTGAGGGCAAACATACAAGATTTTTATTATGGCCCAACCTGTGGTGTCCCCATTTATAGGATGAAAATTAGACCGATTATGATAATACTCAAGCCCAACACCATACTGGACTCCTAGTTGTTATGAGGTTATTTTACACGAGGGGCTGTTGCAGGTATGTAATATTGTTGCTGGCCAGAAATGCAACAAAAAGCTAACAGAAGAACAGACGACGAATATGATCCGTGCCACAGCAAGGCCTGCGCCTGAGCGTGAAAGACAAATAAATGACTGGGTATGTGTAAGGATTTTCTATATGGTTAGACGTATCAATGGATAACTCTTTGATCACCTAGACCACATGCATATAAAGAAAGATGTCCTCTAGTTACGGAACACACTGTGGCGTAACTAAAGTATGGCGGGTATGGCACTTGCCCTGGGCGCCACTTGAAGGGCAAATTAACAAAATTGGCAACAATGAAAAGTTTTGTCGATCCTCACTATCGATCGCTTCGCAGCATTGTGCAGCACACATTCATTCACAGTGCAGTAGCCATATTATTATTTTAGTGAGTGGACACAAACATGTACATACACAAGTCCTGTTCGGATGACAAATTCTACATAATTAAAGCAAAGGTCAACAGATCGCAGACAGTAACAAACAAACAACATGAGGCCTGTGTAGGCTCGTTGTCACAATGTAATAATCAATCCTCAGAATCGTCCGATTACGAGTGACTCCGCACTAACATGAGTGTCAGAAGTGAGAGTTTTTACACTGCCAGATTAATACAAAATAAAAAAGTTCTGGAACATCTCTAATTGTCTACGCTTCTAATCACAATGAAAACTAGTTCCCAGAAATTCATTAAGACTCATTAATTACAGGATAATTATTCAGTATACGTCTATGTATGATTCCTTCAGTATTGTGAGAATAAAGTGAGAAATAATTAATTTAGCATTGTGTAAAGTTTTTATATATTTCCATAAAATTAACCTTTTAAACCGGGTCAAAGTGACCGTCACTAAATTAGTTTAAATCATTTTACAAATCAATGACAGCTATATTGAGATTTGGAGATTTAAACTGATTTTGCTCGAGAAATCGGGTCCATAAGTCCGTTATGTGGCGAAAAGTTACTCAAAAACCATTTGTTCATGTCTAAAAATAATATTTCAAAGTGCTGGTAAATTGCACTTGGAGCCATTAAATTTGCAAATATTTTCTGGGGGAGGACCCCCAGACGCCCCTTAGGTGCTTCGTGCTTAACGGCGCTATATCGTGCGCGGCTTTGCCGCCATATCCTATGTTTCTATAGTATGAAAGTCCACATCTGTAGCACTAAGTAGTAAGAACCCCACACATTTTTTTTAGCTGGCTACGTCCCTGTATATTATAGTAAAGCTATTTATAAGATGAGTGTCAGATGTTTGGACAGGGGCGCAATTTAAGTGCTCGCCATAGGTGCTATTTTCCGTAGGTACGCCCCTGAACACACGTAGTCACAAATCTAATAATGTGAAACGATGAAAGTTTAATGATTGAATTATTTGGTATGTCGACAAAAAATGCATGTGTTGTTATGGTCAGGTAACTTCTTCAGGTAAAAACATTATTTACAAATAAGTAGAAACAATATGAAGGCAAGACATATATGATTGATTTGGTAATCAAAACCAAAAATAGCTGCTATGATTGTGGACAGGGCGTGTGCGTTGTTGAACTGATTGGCACGTAAGTCCCTGTTTCATGGGATATATTCATGTTAACAGGTGCGTAAGATGGACTTCAACAGCAATCCATACGTCCAGGAGTTTGGCATATCTGTGAACTACAAAATGACAGATGTAGAAGGACGTGTATTGCCGCCACCTGCAATACAATACAAAAATGAGGTAATTGTTCCAATGATCAGTAATAATAAAAAATACACTTTGTGATGTGTTGAACTGTAAACTCGCACAAAGATATATGTACGTTGATTTAGTGAACTTGCCATGTGTGCCACAGGCACATTTTTAACTCTGTTTTTTTTGCATATAGTTACCATTGGACGGTGTAATAGGAAAATGAAAATAAAATATGTAATCAGTAATTGGTCTGAACTGTCTTGATCGTGCATTTATAAATTTCTGTGACTTTTTCACTTTAATTACAATACATTTATAAAATTATACTATGTGCAGTTTATTGTCCCCACAACATGTAAAAGGAAAGAAATTTCTGTTGTAGGAAATAGGAAAACCGGCTCGAGGTGCGTGGAACATGATTCAGAAACAGTTCCACACTGGCATGGAGATAAAATCCTGGGCACTAGTTTCCTTTGCAGATGAGCGTAATTGTAGCATGCAGGAATTATGGTAAAGGTTATAGCAGGTTTAAATAGTGTCTTGTTTTTAGCTCATCTGACATAGTCAGATGCAGCTTGTAGAATCGCATGAGCGTGCGTCCCTCCGTCCGTCCCGTCGTGCGTGCGTGCGTGCGTGCGTCAACAGTTGGGCACAAATCTTAACCGCTCGACGTACGGTCACGATATTCGGGACGTGGGGGGGTAATCCGAAAACGAGTTGGTGGTCAAAATGTGTCAAGATGTGTATAAGAAGGGGGAACATTCCTTCCTTAACTTAAGGTATAGGGAGGAAATGCAGAATTGCGGCACAAATCTAAACGGCTCGACCTAGGCTCGTGATAGTTGGTGTATAGCATCATGGTAGGAAAAGCCATCACTGTGCCGAAATTGGAGGTCACCGGTCAAAGGTCAATGGGGCACAGGGCAAATTTTAGACATTTTCTGAGGACATGGTCTGACGGAGCGATTGAAAAACTTTTTTGTTTCAGCGGTGACCTAGCATTTTTATGGCTTTATTGAAAGGACCATGAAATGTACTTTCTGCTGACATGCGAAGAGCAAGTGTCGGATAACCTTTTGACCCTCAAGAGAAGGGTTAAACATGGATTTGTTTACTGTTAGAAAGAATTTGACTGCCGGGTTTGCTAGTAGAATCTATACATGCCTGGATGTATGAGGCTACAATGTCACAGTGAAATTTCAAAAGCTAAATTTGGTTGAAGAAGGTTTATGCTCCTTAAATCGTATAATTTCTATGGCATTCTGTACTGTCAGTGTGTTACATGTAACGCATGCCACTGCCAGTGGTCACTGCCAGTGCATGTGGTGGTGATAGTACTGTGTAGTTTTTGCCTGCTTTAATTAGTTACAGGTGGCAGCTCTCTATTTCAGCCTGTAGGCTTGCGTAGGTAAATGGATGAGTGCTTACCTATTCTGTCTTGCAAATAGTTGTTGCTACTACGTACGATGGGAGCTTCCATCTTTAATCTTAAGACACTTAAACGTACGCGCCATCTCGTGGCAACTTTCATAACGATCCCAACGAACATTCCTTTGAGAAGGTTCCTGATACCATCCCTGTGCCTTCCACTGTTTCGGCGTGTATGTGAACACATTTGGGACTAACAGGGTTCACTAGAATCCCACCACTCCACAGAGTCACCGCAGTAGACGTTAGATGAGCGCTGTCGCTCCGCGGCACTTGTTAACAACTAAACCTACCAATTTATGGGTGAATTTGTTATTAGAAGTCTTCATATTACCTTTTCTTCCTATGTACTACAGTTATGTGCAAGTGTGTCTTGAAGTAAACTGTCTTTGAGGTTTAACGGTATTCAACATTAAAATTACCAGATTCTATGTTTGGTGCATGATCTATGTGGGAAGGCCCATTTAAGAAGGGATAAAGCAAAATGTCAAGACAGTATGTAGATTAGGAAAGTAGGCTGGGGGTGAGACAAGGGGGGTGGAGTAGGGGTGATCTTAAAAGGTAGTGCAGAGATACTGTGAGATTGGAAAATCAAAATATAGAAAAGGTGTTGCTGATGTGACTGAATAAACACAACTAAGATGAATGTTATGTTATATATTATGCACTTTTGTTTCACAGGCAATTTGCTGGAAAACTGCAGAATATGATCAAGACAACAGGAATGCCAATATGTGCTAACCCAGTAGCACTGACTATGGAGCGTGCAGATGTAATGTCAATAGAGGGGATATTCAAAAGATTGCATGCTGCAAATCCCAATCTACAACTCATTGTTGTGGTGCTAGGATTTCGGGCTGCAAGTATATATGGTATGTACTGTATGTTGGTTTATATGGTGGCTCTTTTTGTCACCCTTAAGGATACACTCGGATTTGTTTTAGTTGATAGGTGGTGCCTCTGGGCAGCTATGTATGTGTAGATTGTTACGTATGTGGTCTCCCAAACAGTTCAACATCCCCATGTATGCCCACCTGGCTATTGCAAACCCCAGCACACCCTTTAAAATAGGTACGTCATTAGCGTGCACTATCCCAGAATGCACTGCGTGCCACCCCAGCATGTGAATCAGAAACGCTGTTACAGCTGTTTTGAACATGCTGTTGCTGCACGCATTTGTTTACATTGAGATGATGACGTCAGCAGCGTGCAGTAATTAGTGAGCGGCAAATGGGAGTTTGAAACATCAGTTATTTTGTCAACCTATTTATGTCTAACGACACAACTTTTTTTAAAGTTTGTTGATGGTAATCGGCCACAGATAAGTCATAGTGAGTACTAAAGCAGCAATTGTACCGACCTTTGCTATTTCTGAGAAATGTGGGAAAAGAATTTTTTCATATATTTTTTCATATTTTGTATATTTCATTTTACAATTTCTGCTGTCACGTAATTAGCTATATAGCGATGAGGTTTCTGTGATGTCACAGTGAGTGTAGAGTGACATCTCTTTCATTAAATAGATGTGTGTTTGATTGGCTTTAATGAGCAGTTATGTTGTAATGCTCTTTACAGTGGTACCTGTCTGTAACCCTGAGTGTATCCTTAAGTATGATTGGCTTAATCACTGTTAATGAATCAGTTTATTGGTAGTGTACGTGTGCGCAATAAATGCATGTATTAGTGCTGACATTATGTGCAATAGGTTTAGATGTCGTTCACACCTGCCGGTTTCTCATCGCTGTTATTTGTTTATATTTAGTGGTCTCGGAAACATTGATGCATTCGAACTTTCGCAGGCTAAAGATACTGTCATCCCATAATGCTTTGCGATGATACTTATTTACATCTTTGTGTGCAAGCGACCAGTTTTCCGTGAATTAACAGTGAACTTGTCATGGCTTCAGCTCTTCAAACAATTGATACCCTTCTTTTGGCATCCGATATTTCGGCCATCATGAGTTCACGGTTAATGCATAGAAAAGTGATAGTGGTTGCATATGTGTCACTCATGATACATATGTGCATCTATATCCTCACAAATAGGCAGTATTATGGGATGAAAATGCAGTAAGGAATGCCTATTTCGTTAACTTGTGAAAGTTGTAATACTTAAATTGCCACGTTAATACTTGTCATGTTTTAATATAGCCACGTGCATAGTTTTGTGTGTGCAGACATGTTATATGTAAAATTGATTATGGGAAATACTAATTAGAAATTGCACGCACGTTGCTTCCATTCAACTGACATTAGCTGACTTGAAGAAATTGACATTTTCCAATTATTTTGATATTTTGTTAATTATGTGTAGATCAGAAAAATTCCGTAATACTTGACACCTTGTTTTCATGTGCAGCTGAAGTGAAACGGGTTGGAGACGTAGTGATGGGGCTGGCGACACAGTGCATTCAGCAAAAGAACGCTGTAAAGAAAATGGATCAGACATTGGTCAACCTGTGTATGAAGATAAACGCAAAGATGGGAGGTGTGAACAACATACTTCCGCGAGAGGCCAGGTAGCTACTGTTACATCACCAACCACAAATCGCCAGGCAATGGTGGCATTTGTAAGAACTGTGATTTGAGATAAACTGCACAGACTAATGTCATGAAGCGACCAAATCATAAAATATACAGTAGCAATGCAGCGTGATTAACGTGCTTATTGCGTACTTCAGTCGCCATGGCCATAGAAGTTTTCAAAGGGACTTTTCTAGTAAGTGTATCATCCCTGTCCCTGTCGATGTCCCTGTCCCTGTCGATGTCCCTGTCCCTGTCGATGTCCCTGTCCGTGCTCGTATGTCACACATGTAAACGTCAGCTCACCCGATTTGTGAATGCAGGCTACTAATCTTCAAAAAACCAGTGATTGTATTTGGAGCAGACGTCACTCATCCGTCACCAGGTGACACGCACAGGCCTTCCGTCGCTGCAGTGGTTGCCAGCATGGATCCCTACCCTAGTCGTTACGCGGCGGATGTCAGAGTTCAAAAACACAGGCAAGTATCATCTTAGGCAGGAAGGACGATATTGAAGCAATTATGACTAGTGATGGAGATCGGTTGAAATTTTGTGATTAATTGTCAGCGGCACTCAACCGATCGATGATCGATTACAATACTACATTGATTACGATGATCGAGTATACGATGATCGATTACAATCTATTCTAATGTTGATTGTGAATATTAGATAATAGGTACAGTCATTTCTCCTTCATTATGAAGGCTTAGGTTATGAAACTGTGCCCATGCAAATATGGTAAACACCTTACATAACAAGGTAATTACACAAGTGTAATTAAAAAGCCGGTGTTTATATAAAGAGCCAGTGTCCAATTGCAAAGCACTTGTGGATCTTCTTTGAAGCAGTAATAAATTACGCATACTAGTTATAATAACAGTGTGACACAGTCCTAGTGTTTGTTCTTCTTTCAGGCAAGAGATAATAGCTGAGCTATCAGTTATGGTAAAAAATCTATTGATAAAGTTCTACAAAGCAAATCGGCAAATGAAACCAGAGCGCATTATTTTCTACCGGGATGGAGTGAGTGAGGGTCAGTTTATGCAGGTAGGCTTATTTTCGATATCACTTTCCGGTAAGGTATGAAATAAGATCAGATACCATGTGTGCTGATTCTGCTGTGTATGTCTTTACCCCCATTCTAAGCACCCTTTCATTGTGGCCCCTAATTGATTAGAACCTCATACAACAGAAGCATGCAAACCAACCTGAGAAATGCTGATGTTATATGTGACCTACCTATCACTTTTCTTAATCCTTCCTTTGCTTCTGGAAGTAAAATGTTTTAATACACAAGACCGTTTACCCAAATTTTTTACACAAGACCTATGGGAAATTAAAGAAAGACCCTACAACGAAATATAAAAGCAAACTAGTGGCGATTCTCCAACGTCTGAAAAGAGAAGACAAAATTACTGAAGCTAAGTACAAGTTCCTATATCCCACGGCCGAAAATATACCAAGAATCTACTGCACACCTAAAATACATAAAGAAGGCAACCCGTATAGACCCATAGTCGATTACACAGGCTCCATAGCATACAATTTGTCAAAAAGGTTAGCCGATCTACTGGCCCCTTTGGTAGGCACCACCGAACATCACATCAAGAACTCAACAGAGCTAGCAGAGGAACTCAAAACAATACGTATGAAACCAGACGAGATATTAGTCTCCCATGACGTTGTCTCACTCTTTACCAACACTCCGATCCCAGAATCGATTAACATAATCAAGTCGAGACTGGAGGCAGACAAAACATTGAAGAAGCGAACCAACCTCACCACAGACGATGTCATTGAATTGCTCACGTTCGTTCTTACGACCACATACTTCAAATTCAGAGACCAAATATACAACCAGAAGTTCGGAGCAGCCATGGGTAGCCCGGTCTCGCCTATCGTTGCCAATCTTTACATGGAATGGCTTGAAACGAAAGCCATTGAGACAGCACCGTCTGATCTCAAACCTAAATTGTGGCTACGCTATGTAGATGACACATTGGAAATCATCAAGTCTGGTACAGTCCAACAATGGACAGAACACCTCAATAGCATCGACAGTACCAACAATATCAAATTCACGTACGAGGAAGAACTCGATCAAAAAATTCCGTTCCTCGGCACACTCGTCCATAAACGAGAAGATGGTTCACTAAAACTGACGGTGTATAGGAAAAAGTCCCACACGGACCAGTACTTAAACTTCAACTCACACCACACGAAGCGCGCCACATCAAGAACGCACTACAAAAATGCGGCTACCCCAATTGGACACTCGAAAAAGTCACGGGAAAAAACAAAATCCCAAAAGAAAACCTCCACGGAGAAACCGAAGGCGATGATCGTCCTACCCTATGTCAGAGGCGTCACGGACGTAGTTCAGCGTCACCTAAACAATGCAGGTGTGGCTTCAACAGTTAGACCGTTTGAGACCCTAAAACGGCTTTTGGTACACCCTAAGGACAGAACAGATATGCACAACATTACGGACTGTGTCTACAAGATACCGTGTGCAATGTGTGGAAAAAGTTACATTGGAGAAACCGGCCGAAAATTTGAAACCTGCCTAAAAGAACACAAAAAGGACGTAGACACCGTAGCACCCAAATCGTTCACAAGGGCTCAACGAAAACAGTCGGCTACCGAAATCACCAAATCCGCGATCACTGACCACGTAGCGAAGGACAATCACTCCATCGATTGGGAGAATTCGGAGATCATCGATCGCAAGCCAATCAAAATCAGGCATTGGATTAAGGAGGCCATCTGGATCCGCAAGACCCCAAACATCAACCGGGACGAGGGGGGATACAGGCTTAGTCACGTGTGGACTAAGCTATTGACCTCCACACCATCTGGTGGTCAAAACTGATTATTATCAGTTTGCTTTGAGAAAGCCTCCTGGTAGGCAGCCTGAAAGCCTCCTGGTATGGCAGGAGGCGAAACGTCAGCGGTGCGTTTCTAACATTCACGGTTGAGTAAAAATTAACCCTGTTATATATAAAATGTTTTAATTAGCTTTGACAACAGGTGGGTTACTGTAGTATTCACCTACCTGCTCACAGATAAAAGTGACTTTTCATGTGGCATATATACTTTTGCATATCTGTTTACATACACATTGTTTATAATCTACCGTATGGAACTAAATGCAATGTTAAATCAAGTGCTGTGTTTGCCAGCTTGACAATTTTGTGTAACACTAAATGAGAATTGCTTATCATATAATTTAACACAGGTATTTTGTAGTAGTATATTTATGCATATATGCTCTGCTTTGTCTTTTAAAAGTATATACATACATAAAGTAGTGAGTAAAAAGAACCACATTCTATCATTTATTTACGATTGTATATATTTAGGCCTGCATTTTGGGTATATTCTAATACCTAGCCAATGCACAGGGTATAGCCCATCTGGTCACAACACCTGTGGTCTTTTCAATACAGAATCGTTTCGGAAACCCATTAAATAAGTTCATTCGGTTGGTAGATAATAGACCATTTTGTGGACCAAGCTGTTGACCACTACACCATCTGGTGGTCAAATCTGATAACTTCAGTCAGCTTTGAGAAAGCCTCCTGATATGAGGCGAAACGGCAGCAGTACGTTTCGATCAATACGGTTGAGTAAAAATTAACCAAGATAGATCTATTACAGAAACTACTTATTGTTTCTATTCCGTGTACAGGTTCTGCAGTATGAATTGATGGCGATCAGAGCTACTTGCCAGAGTCTCGGCGCTGATTACAAGCCAGCCATTACATTCGTCATCGTACAGAAGCGTCACCACACTCGTCTGTTCTGCTCTGACAAACGCGACATGGTGCGTGACATTGTTGTTTCCTTGGCGCGATCAAATTGACGAAAAGTGTAAATTAATTTAGAATTGCGTGCAGGTGCTTTTGTGAACGATAGGCGCAATTGATGTTTACTCATTTCACCGTGTGCGATATGCAGCTGTGCCTCGAAAATGATTGTGAATAATTTTGCCCATTGCAGGAAGGAAAAGCGAATAATATTCCAGCTGGAGTGACTGTTGATACAACAATCGTCCACCCAACTGACTTTGACTTTTATTTGTGCAGTCATTTCGGAATACAAGTAAGTTAATGGTAGTAAGTAAGCAATTAAGTAAGTTAAAGCAGGGAGAATGGATTTTAATCGATGTAGCTGTTTTTCCTTACTAAATTTCGTGTTTAAAGTAATGCAATGGCCAACAGTTTAGGTATGTTCTCGTTACACCAATGTCTAAATTCTGTATTCTAAAGTTGTGAATCAAACGTGAATGCTGTTATTCCCATTTTCCTTGTGATCAGTAAGTAACAAAATTCCTTACAAATGTAAGAAAGGCATTAAATATCTACTTGGGTCACATATCCACCGACCAACACAGTAGCTAAAGTAAAAGGTCCAGTGAGGCAGCTCCCACTGCCAAGAAAATAGTCAGTGAGGCACATATGCTCGCAAGTTATTCACCCCCCTTACAATTGGTCATCATACTCGCTGTGTATGAATGCTAGACCTTCTGGCACTATAATATGACTAATAGTTGAAGATATTGAAGTCGTGACAACTCCCTAAACATACTATAACGCGTCATTATATTTTTAGCTCACCTTGACATCGTCAAGCTGAGCTATTGCCATGGGTCGTCGTACGTCCGTCCGTCCGTCCGGTTAGCTCACCTTGACATCGTCAAGCTGAGCTATTGCCATGGGTCGTCGTACGTCCGTCCGTCCGTCCGTCAACATTTGGCTTTGGTCAACGATAACTCCGGAACCGTTTGACCCACATGTTTGAAATTGGGTGTAGTTGTTACTGCTATGCTCCCATATTAAACGTCCTATTTTGGAGCACGCCAGTCTGCGTACTTTCGAGCCACAGCGATTTTTTGGCAACAATGGGAATTGCCATTAGTCAGTTCAGGTTCAACGGATTTTGCTCATTTTTGGTATGTAAATGAATAAGGGCTAGGGGTTTTGATATTTAAAAAAGAATTATGCAAATTAGGTAGGGTTTGGCAATTATATAGCATATTATATAGATACAAACAGTCTGTGGTGTCACACTCGTCTGGTTCGTTTTATAAGATTTCATTGACAATATCTTTAATGCAAAATTGGTATTTCCTCTCCACCCTGCCGATAAAACGTCTATATTAGAGTAAAGTTTACAAAACATTTCGGAACGCGCATAACCTATTATACTCACTTACGTAGTCAGCTATGCTTGTAGAATCGATGATCGTCCGTGGCGTGCCGTCAACAGTTTGGCACAACCATCTTAACCGCACGACGTACGGTCAACGATATTCGCGACGTGGGGTACTGAAACGATTGATGTCGAAGCTGGTCAAAGTCAAAGTCAAAAGGTCAAGAGTTAAAAAAGGGGAACATTCCCCCTTAAACTTTAAGTATATGAGGAAACTCAGAATGCGGCACAAATTCTAAAACGCATTGACCTAGGCCTTTGATGAGTCGGTGTATAGCATCATGTAGGAAAAAGCCATCACTGTGCCGAAATTGGAGTCACGGTAGTCAAAGTCAATGGGGGGCACAGGCAAGATTTTAGACCATTTTCTGAGGACCATGGTCTGACGAGCGATTGAAAAACTTTTTTGTTTCAGCGGTGACCTAACACAGCATATTTATGCTTATTGAAATGACCATGAACATGTTACTTTCTGCTGACAATGCGAAGATTACAGTTCGATTAACCTTGACCCTCAAAGAGGAGGTTAGACATGATTTGTTTACTGTTAGCCACAAGAATTGACTATGCCGGCGTTTTGACTAGTAAGAATCTATACATCCTGGAGTTATGAGGCTAACATGTCACATAAGAAATTTCAAAAGACTAAATTGGTTGAAGAGCGGTTTAGCTCCTAAATCAATAATTTCTATGAGCAATTCTGTATCGTCAGTAGTGTTACATGTAACGGATATGCCACTGCCATGTACGTTAGTTTTGCCTAGCTTATTAATTACAGTGGCAAGCTCTCTAATTCTAACACTCGTATGCTTGCGTACGGTAAATGATGATGCTTACCTATTCTGTCCTTGCAATATTGTTTGCTACTACGTACCGATGGGAGCTTCCATCTTTAATTCTGAGAACGACACTTAAACGACAGCACCACTCGTGCAACTTCCGTAACGATCCCCCGCCCAACAACATCCTTTGAAAGGTTCCTGATATCATTTCTGCTCCACCTGTCGGCGTGTTTGAACACATTTGGGACTTAAAACATGGTTTACATAAATCCCACCATCCACCACAGAGTCACCGCATTAAGACGTAATACGCTGTCCGCTGCGCGGCACTTTTTACCAAACGACATCACAACAAAGCGGTATATCGCCATCATACGGTCACAAATTGTTGATTCATTTTGGTTTTTAAAAATATTATTAGCGATATAACAGAATGCAATTTCGTTTCATAATGTACGTCAAATGTTTGCTCATATAAAACATGACATTCTCTGACTCACTCATTTGTCCTTTTTGTAGCGGACAAGTGTCATTGACACTTTCATTATAATTCTACCGTGAATGCTAGTAGAGGAATCTGAAACTACAACACCTATTGCCAACATCAAGTAACGGTGCGGTATCTATCTAATTTTCGCATCAGGAAAACCAATTCGACCACTATACTACCCTGTGGGACACAACAACTTCACGCTGACGACCTCCAGAAACTGACCTATCAGCTGTGTCACACGTATGTCCGCTGCACACGCAGCGTCTCCATACCAGCACCAGCCTACTATGCCCAACCTTGTGGCATCAGAGCCAGGCACCACCTGGAGAAGGTTCTTGCAGTGAGTCAATTCTGCGCATTATCGAAGATGGTCGTTAATAGAGGTGTCCGCATCTGTGACAAGCCCGGGGGGGGTACCTCTAGCATAGTGACGTATAATATAATATATATATGCGCCGCACTATTGCCCCAGTCATTTTAGCCTCACCTTGACATCGTCCAAGCATGAGGCTTAATTGTCCATGGGTCGTCCGTCCGTCCGTAGCTCCGTTTCGTTCGTGTGGCCGTGCGTCCGTCCGTCAACAACATTGCTACCAATCGAACCGATAATCAGAACCGTTGACCCACATGTGAAATGGTATAGTTTTACTGCCTATGCTCCCATATAAACGTCCTATTTCTGAGAGCACGCGCCAGTCGACAGTACTTTCGAGCCACGCAATTTTTGGCAAAAAAATGGGAATTGCATTAGTCAGTCAGGTTCAACGGATTGCTCCATTTTTGTAGAATGAATAAGGGCTAGGGGGTTATTGATAATAAAAAAAAATTCATGCAAATTAATAAGGTTTGGCACATATTAATAGCATGTTAATATAGACCACGCAGATAACAAAGTCCTGGTGGTTCACACTCGTGCTGGTTCGTTTTACAAGATTCATTGACAATATCTTTAATGCAAAAATGTATTTCCTTTCCGCCCTAACCGATAAAACTCTATCATAGGAGTAAAGTTTTACAAACACATGTCGAAGTCGCATAACCTATTTATTTCAAACGCCATCGCTAAAGAACATCAAAAGCGGTATACGCCAATCACCGGTCACAAATTGTATTCATTTTGTTTCTAAATTATTAATGCAATATCAGATGGCAACCATTGTGCACCGCCTAAAAACTCATAACGAAGTAAAACACTCCATGCAACCAATTAACCTTTGACAAAGTTGTGTTATGCAGGTAAACACACGTTGTCACATGGTATACTAGCAATCTAACTGAAAAACGATCCTCGTTCAATCTTACACGTTACACACGGAGCTCCCCGCTTTTAAGGGCAGTGGCCTAAATCTGAATATTATAAAAACGTTAAAATGCGATCATTAGGTAACGCCATCACTCGCCCACTACCTCTCAGACTTTCACATCTCAAACATTATTTTCACATACAAATTAGAAGACAACATAAATTAATCTCAAGAGTACTATACATGGGATTCTCCTCATATATACTCCATATTTCGTTTCTATAATGTACGTCGATGGTTGCTCAATCGAAACTGACTTCTCACTCACTAATTGGTGTCCTTTTTTGTGGTGAGCTACAGTGTCATTGACCCTTTCATTTAAATTTCCTTTCGAACAGTGACATTGCAAGCATCAGCTCGGGTGGGAGTGATGAGCGCAAGATTCCGCTGGAGCTGTTGGCAGCCGCAGTAAAAGTTCACGATCAAGCCGGCGACGTCATGTACTTTGCGTAGAGACTGTGTGTAAAATAATTTATCGATGTAGCGAGTATGTTATGCATGTAGTGTTCATACGTGTAGAATATAGGCTACCAGGTGATAAGTACAACCGGGCTATTCAAAATTGCCATTTTTATGTGTCTGATAAGGAATGTTTTGGTCTAACATTGAAATGATGATACAGAGAAATGCAGAAGGTATCACATCTATTAATAAATAGAAGTGGACACACAATCACTATGTGCAGTTTTTCCAATGATCAGTGACAGCAAAAGTGCTCAGCTACAGTTCTTTATTGCATTTCTTTATTTTTTGTGCTCGCATTTATTTTGTACTATTATTAATGCCTTAAAACAAAACAAACCCTCTATGGTGGAGAAATTACATGTTAGTCGGAAAATGGATGTCAGTGTAGCAAATGCTCGAATCGCATGGATTCATATGCTGAACCACATTATTGAATATTTTTATTGTAACCATAACTGTGTTTGCCAGATGCATATTACTCTCTTTATGCATTCAAGGGTCTAAACTACTATCTGCTAATGAAATTGAGCTAGAATACATATCATGCTATTTTGCGTTTGTGACTGTGTTCATTATAAAGTTGTGGTGAAATTTATATGGGTGGCTATTAAAAGTTGCGGGGGTCGCTAAAAGCTCGATATTTCATCACGCGACAAAGTTGGCATGTTATAGCTGTGTGATGTGTTTGAAATCTGTTTTCGTTACAAAGTTTTTGTTAATAACAAGAGGTGGCGCTACACGCCACAAGCTTAATTCTGTGACATCACTAAGCTGTATATAATAACAGTGTGTGACTTATGAAATGATATATAAGTTGCAATATGGTGAATATATTTTCTGCTCATATAGTTCTAGATTCGCCCACTATATGTGCCAGCACTAAAGGGCTTCTTTTCGTGTATACGTTTAGTAGCGTTTATAGAGATTATTCAAATAAATTGAAATTAACCAAAATATAACTAATTATGTTTCTGTGTATGTAGAGAATTTAGAAGTAGTTATTTAGTGGGATCGTTTGTTTCTGGCACAGCTAGCTGGCAGACTGCAGTTCTCTCCTGGATGACACAGCTAGCTAACAGACTGCGGTTCTCCCCTGGATGACACAGCTAGCTAGCAGACTGCGGTTCTCCCCTGGATGACACAGCTAGCTAGCAGACTGCAGTTCTCCCCTGGCAATGGACCACAGCTAGCTACGAGACTGCAGTTCATCCCCTGGATGACATACAGCTAGCTAACAGACTGCAGTTATCCCCTGGATGACAGCTAGCTAACAGACTGCAGTTATCTCCTGGATGACACAGCTAGCTAACAGACTGCAGTTACCCCCTGGATGACATACAGCTAGCTAACAGACTGCAGTTATCCCCTGTATGACATACAGCTAGCTAGCAGACTGCAGTTCTCTCCTGGATGACACAGCTAGCTAACAGACTGCGGTTCTCCCCTGGATGACACAGCTAGCTAACAGACTGCAGTTATCCCCTGGATGACATACAGCTAGCTAACAGACTGCAGTTATCCCCTGGATGACAAGCAGCAACAGGACTGCAGTTATCTCCTGGTAGACACAGTCTAGCTAGCAGACTTCGGTTCTCCCCTGCGATGAACGGCTAGCTAGCAGACTTCAGTTTCCCCTGGAGGACACATAGGGCTAAAACAGACTGCGGTTTGCTCCTGGATGACACAGCTAGCTACACAGACTGCGGTTCCCTCTGGATGCAACAGCTAGCTAACAGACTGCAGTTCTCCCCTGGATGGACACAGGCTAGCTAGCAGACTGCGGTTATCCCTGGATGACACACCAGTAGCTCAGCAGACTGCGTTCTCCCTGGATGACACAGTAGCTAGCAGACTGCGGTTATCCCCTGGATGGCACAGCTAGCTAACAGACTGGCAGTTCTCCCCGGTGAGACACGGCATAAGCTAGCAGACTGCGGTTATCCCCGCGATGACACAGGCTAGCTAGCCAGACTGCGCGTTCTCCCGGATGACACAGCTAGCTAGCAGACTCGGTTCTCTCCTGTGATGACACAGCTAGCTAGCGACGATGTGGTCTTCCCGGATGACACAGCTAGCTAACAGACTGCAGTCTGAGCCCTGGATGACACAGCTAGCTAACGACTGCGGTTCTCCCCTGAGATGACACGGCTAGCTAGCAGTCTGCGGGTATCCCTGGATGCACACAGCTAGCTAGCAGACTGCGAGTTCTCCCCTAGAGGACACAGCTAGCCTAACAGACTGCCGGTTCTCCTCTGGATGACACACGCTAGCAGCCAAGACTGTGGGTTCTCCTGGCATGAACACAAGCTAGCGTAGCAGATTTCTCAGTCCTGAATTTTTCCTTGAATTCTTGAAATTTGAGTGACAATTCCCAAACGATTCGCCCCCTGACAAGCTGTATGGTGGTTTAAAGCATGTGAGCGTGTACCCCCGGATCTGGAAGGATCGTGGCTACCCCATGTTGGAAATGTTGGGTCAAGAGGCTTGGGTTAGCACTATAAGGTGTTTTCTTCTTCTCCGGTCACTACACTACACTCGACCTACCCACTGCAAGCTTATCGTGGCTACCCCATGTTGGAAATGTTGGGTCAAGAGGCTTGGGTTAGGACTCGAAGGTACTATCTTCTTCTTCTCGGGTCACTACACTACACTCGACATAGCCACTGCAACACACAGGACCTGACATGGTGGTTGAAAACCTCAAGGTCTCCACGTCTACATGGCTCTGGTAATAGGGGGCATTCCAGGAGATGTGCCATAGTCTGGTCCTCCCCACAGTCGCATTCGATTGGGCCGTCTTCAATGTATCCCTATTTCTGCATGAGTGCCCTCCATCGACCAACCCCTGTCCTGAGGCTATTTCGGCATAGCCACGTCAGCCATACCTCGTTGGCTCCGGGTGGGAGGGATTTCTGGGGGCTGAGTGAAAGCTTATGATGGCTTGCCTGAAGATGCTTTGACCATATAGGGCGATCCTGTAGTTTTGGATGTTGCCATCCAGGTGTTAAACCGCGTGGATTAAACTGTGCCTGGACTTTAATCTTTTCTGTACTGATTCATGCTGGATGAGGGGGTGGCGAAGGTCATTTTCTTGCTTAAATTTCTCCAGTTGGGATGAAGCCATTCGGCTAACGTGTGGAGTGGCAGTGCCACAGAGCAAGTAGAAGTCATCTACTCTGGTTGGTCTCAAGCATCCAGAAATGGCTCTGCAGGCAATGTTCAGAACTGGGTCAATTTTTGCTGCATCGTGCTACCTACTCCAGACAGGGCACGCATACTAGCGATCGATACTAGGGATCGTAGCAGGAGAACCCGGGACTGGACCCCCCTTGGAGGGGCTCGAGAATTTGCAGTGATCGAGGCTGCAATTTCGGGAATAACGGCAGCGACCACCTTAGCAATTAGGGGGTCATCTCAGCATGGGGACCATCGTTGCACTTGAAACACTTGCAGAAGAAAAGGTAAAAATATTTTAAAGGTGATCCAGATTAAAATAATCCAAAAAATTATAGGCCCACTATAAGCTCACAGAATTTATTCAAATTTCCGCCAATCGGGGTGCTCCCTCC